CAATGTTACGGTGATCGTAGCGTTACACAAATAATAGATAGATCAATGAAAAATCACTGACTTTAGTTTTGAAATGCCGTTGTAGAAAAAAAATGTCATTATTGATTTATTAATTTCTTCATACAGATTTTACAAATTTAACAAACAAATCTCTCCCCCCCCCCCCCGTCGTATGAACTGACAGTAACATTGGCACTAAAATTGACTGTACTTGTACACAAAATAATGATGAACCAGTTACCTCCACGGATAAACAATATATTTACTGACTGGCTATAAGTATTTCCATTTCTTTTCTGTTCTATTTCAAACTTGATTTGACTTGATGCACACATAAAACACAATGAATGTAAATGATAAAAATATATGAGATATGTATCTCTTCTTTATTTCAGTTATAATGTTTGTTGGGGAAACTAATTATTATGCAAACAAAATTATGCAAATAAGATGTATTGTTATGTAAATTAGCCGCGATGCTTGGCTTAGAGTCTGGGGAGAACACTGTAATATGTCCATGCTAGAGTACCGGTACCCACAAAACTATAGGATGGTAACCAGGCTAGCAGTCTGGCATTACCTTGTTAAAGAAACATAATTCCACTTACATATTTCAAGGGTGATGTTTCTCCCAAAGCTAGTAGGATAGGTGAATCAGCATCACAATTACATTTATAAGTCACTATAGAAGATCTGGAAAAAAAAAAAAATGTTTATGGTGAAATGGTGCTTTTCATTATTGTTGTAATCAAGTGTTTATATGGAAGGAATATTTCCAGATGATAATAAACCAATATTACAGTCTCTGACTTGTGTCTACTTTGTGCCACTCTCCATGTGATGGCACATCACACCTTCTGTCCCGACATCTGAATCTATATAATAAAATAGCATCCTTACCTTTTATCAGTGGTGACCTCTTCTTTATATGTTAGTACCACAGTCCCTAATGATGGTACGGAATACTCTACAGAATCCTGAGTTCCAAGATTATACAACGAATCATGAACATGCTGACATGCCTACAAGTGAAACGTTTGTAGTAAATTTTGTTATATTTATTTTAAAATACCAGGTAATGAACAAATTTTAATCTTCAATTTTGAATATTAGTATGCACGTTTGAGAATGGACTGGGCTGCGAGCGTTGCTGTGGAAAGTTTTGAAGAAAAAGTGATGTCAACTCACAATTTTTGTGTTTTGAATAAGTTTTGTTGTCAATATCGATGATTATGCAAGTTTATACTACAAAGTGACCAAGACACGTTAAGAATGCGGAAGAAAGAACACTGGTATCATCTCTTAATTAAGAGTTGTGCTTTGAGTACTGCAGTTATTTGTTTACCTCGGGTGAAAAAAATTTCAAAGCAAAGTCACAAAATAACACCAAGTTAATTGATCAAATATACTACTCCATCATATTGACAAAGATATAAAAAAATACATTCTAAATTACAAAAAGGTATGCCTATTATTCAGTATACTGAAAAGTGGTCCAATATTTATACTTACAGCAACACCGTCACAAGAAGTCCCAAGTCTCATTGCAGTGCATGGATTGTAACTAGAAAAGAAATTTAAGACAAAAATTAAATTAAAACAAGCCATGCATGGCACAGTCCTCGTTAGTTATCGAATTTAAAATATATAGTTTTGTTTATAATAATATAGCTGGAATATAAACATGTCAGGAATATGATTATGA